ACCTGTGGCTGGATATGGATCCGGAGTCTTCCAGCTAAGCTTCTAAAGGCAAGTACAATCAATATATTAACCATTCACTGCCTTATGTCGATCAAATTTTCAGCAATTTGGACTATGTTAGTCATTATGATGATGCCTCTGTAACTACCAATCCTGGAAACCCGAAACGCACCGTAGGAAGCCCCATGGAAGCCCCCAATCCCCGTCTCAGTCCTGCCATCAGCAGCCTTCGCTCGTCATAGTCGTTCCGGACCTGCTGTCGAATATGGAGAAGGAGTCTTCCAACCCACCCACTGGCGAATATTTAATCCGATTCGATGATGATCAGCTATTGCCTGATGTATCTGGGATTTCCAGGGAGAATAGTCGTTCGATTCCATGCCGTAAGCAGGACGTCTTTTCTACCAAAAAGCCGATTGAATGAATTCTGATGTTGAAGAGTACCGCCTAGCTGTATCGGATCGTTGCTGCGATGTAATTGTCCTATGCAAAACGTGGATCGATTATCGAATGCTTTACAGTCAAATCTTCGGTCCGGAACACGAGGTCTTTCGTAGCGATCGGAATCCTAACAACAGACGTAAATCTACTGGTGAAGGTGTCCTTGTAACTGTCCGTGGCTGGTTGGAGCCAAAGGCCATCGAGAACGCTACATGGAACAATGTGGAGCAGGTTTGGACAGCCATCAATCTGGGTGATCGCACACTATTCCTATGCGCTCTGTACATTCAACCTGATCGAGTCCGGGACAATGAACTCATCGATACTCACTGTCGGTCAGTTTCCACAGTTATCGAAAGTGCCACTCCAGTTGATGAGATATTCATTTTTGGTGATTTCAATCTGCCAGGCGTTTCGTGAAGTCCATCTCAAAACGGATTCCTGTACCCAGATCCTGATAGCTCTAGTTTTCACGCAGGAGCTATTAGCCTTCTCGACAACTACAGCTCAGCAACGCTTTCTCAAATTAACCATGGAGTTAACGAAAATAATCGTAGTCTGGACATCTGCTTCGAGAGCACTTAGAATAGGGCTCCATTAATTTACTCGGTTCCTTGTGCACTAACTAAGCTAGTTCAGCATTACCCTCCTCTAATTGTCACTGTTGAAAACAAACTCGTGTGTGATTTCGACGATTATCCTGCTGCAGTTTCTTATGACTTCCGTAAAGCTGACCACCGTAGCATCATAGATATATTTTTTTTTTGTTAATTACTTTATTTGTACAGGCTCAATCGATGTTGCATTTATCCTGCTAGCCAGAAGAGCGGACTACCCTACGGGCATCCCAGAGTCTAAATCATTCTCCTATCTGATTCCCTTGTGCTTATGCGACTAACAGATTTTGGGTTTGCTTAATGGCTAAATACGTCTACTCACGCACACGGACCCATGACTCGTTGCTGTTTCGGCTACGTCATCGACCGACCAAGAATGTCGCCCGATCAAGCATCCCGTCGACGCACGTTCACTTGTCGGCCTGCTCCTACTGGCACCGGCCAAGTCTTCCTGCCGCACGTGAGTGCTTCCTGGCTACGCCGTCCGTGCGGCCACGCGAAGTTGGCGCTTGCCTATGGAACCCAATGAGCACTCTGCTTCCGTCAAATCACCGCCTTGGCGAGCAGTTGACTCCCTGCTTCGGCGATGTTGGCCGACGACGTCTGCGGGCCCTTGAAACGCGTCTCTACCTGAGAATGCTGCAATAAGACCCCTTATTCTTTGTGTCCGTGTTGCCTTTCTGGTTGTGACCACCAAGCAAGGCTGCTAGCCGGCGATCTAACACGGCTAATGTCGGTCGTATGATTTCGTCCAGTGACGATGCTTTGGTGCGTTCGGATCAAACTGCTTCCACACGTGTGCGCTTCGAGTCCGTTCTTGGCGTGTTCGGCTGTCGTGCAATTCCTCCAAGTGCGGTTGGTAGAACGCCGATAGTTTGACTTCGTCCGGTGACGGTACTTCCGCTTGCCTCTGTGGAACGGGTTGCCACCACCCTCGTTGCAATCCGAGTCACCGGTCGTTTTTCCTCTGGCCGAACTGCTCTTAAAAGCAAGGTTGACTGTGTCGTGTGATTTCCAACGTTTGGCCTAGTCCCTTGACTGTTCTTTCGCTCGTTCCTACGGAACGTGTTGCTTCCCCGTAAGCCGAAATCCAAAACGCCAGACTAGCTCTTCTACGAGTATGGCTGCTGGTCAACTTCCCGTCACTTTTCACAAAGCACACCAAGCGCGTGAATCCAGCGTACACTGGAGAATAAGAATGACGAAGCAAAATCATCCGATCTCGCTGCTGCCCTTGCTCGCTTTTGTCTGTTTGATGCGTCCGTGTGAGTGCAATCTTTTCGCTCTCTCGTTGCGTTCGTTTGCAGCGTCGCCTTGCAAAAGGCCTTTTGCGGTGGAGTATTTTGACTAGGCGGTTTTTCGATGCGTGCGACGAGCGTACTGATGACAAAATTGTACTAATTCTTCGGCACTTAAAGCTAATGTTTCTTTGGTTTGTTAATTTAACTGAACAAGGGCAAGAAATAAGCTGAATTTGTTTACATCGTAACATCGAATAAGCAACATTGTATTGTATAGCATGTTATGGGAGAACATCCTTGATCCAAGGTTGCAAAGACTCATTTCAGCTAAAATAATGTTTATCGGAATAATAAAACCAAAAGATGGTATGATGGCATGTTTTACTTGTAACTTACAAGAAGAGGTTACAAAGTATGCGTTGGAAACATAAAACCTGTAAATTTTGCTTTCTATGAGTCACAATCAGCGATTTGCTGATCGCTGAGTGAGTGAGTGAGTGAGTGAGTGAGTTTGTGAAAAATCGCTGATTGTGACTCTCATGAAGTGACATAAACAGGTTTAATATGTCAAACACATTCTTTGCAACCTCTTCTTGTATCCTACTAATTCAAAATTTGATCATGGTATCTAATTATTTCATAATTTAGAAAAACATTGTTTTAGCTGAAATGAGTCTTTGCAACCTTGCCTTGATCCTGATGAACTCACCACAAAGTGCCTCACCTTCCTTGTCAGACGAGAGAGCTACGTAAGCTGAAGTCAATCAAGAGAGCAGCATTGAGGAAATTTACGATATATTGCACGCTTCCTCTGAAACTTCATTATGTGAGGCCATAGGCGTAGCCAGATAGGGGCAGGGGGGGCGACTGCCCCCCCCCTAAACTCGGCAACACAAAGGCTTTCGAGGAAATGGCGTTCGGTGAAATGGCATTCGGCCAAATTTTCCATGGTAATTTTTTTTTCGCCCCTCCCTAGCTCGAAACCTGGCTACGCCCTTGTGTGAGGCTGAATCACATGTACCCGCAAGTCAGTCGTGTATGCTTTTCAAGTTTCCAACGAGACATCCAGCGCAAACTTAAGCTACACCCGCAATCCTTTTGGAAGTACGTGAACGAGCAACGCTCAAGATATATGCCGCATTTTTTTCCGAGTAGGCCGCGACTCTGCTTAAGTGATCGTTCAATCCTGGACCTGATGGAGTTCCATCTGTATTTTTGAAGAGACATTTTGCTAGCTTGTTAATTCCGCATCATCGTCTGTTCCGCATGTCTCTCTCCAGTGGAATATTTCCAGCCTGCTGTGGATAACTATCGAGGAATTACATCGTTAAGTGGTGCTTCCAAGCTATTCGAGCTAGTGATTATGAAACCGTTGCAGTCCCATTGCAAGCAGTCTGCTGTGTCTCACATCGTATATTACCGAAAGCATGTCAGATTGGGTTCAAATGGACGTTATTTATTCAGACCTATCCACAGCATTCGAAAAGTTGAACCATGCTATTGCGATTGCTAAACTCGGCAGGCTCGGTGTATGCGGTATAGGAGATTGCAGATCAGCTAGCATCTTCGCCGCATCAGGTATCCCTCAGGGAAGTCATCTGGGACCGTTGATTGTTATACTGTACTTCAACGACGTTCATCTGGTCATCGAAGCTCTTCGGTTATCATATGTAGATGACCTCAAAATCTTCCTACGAATCCGCTCGATCGCTGACGGTCACTTTCTTCAACGTCAGTGGCATGACAATCGAATGCGTGAATCAGGTGAAGCACTGTGATCTTGGATTAGCAGCTATCATTCAAGCAACACATTGCATTTGTTGTCGATAAGGCGTCTAGAACTTTAGGGTTCCATTTTCAGGATAGCTAAAAACTTCACAGACATCTACTGTCTAAAATCTCTCTATTGTTCGCTTGTTCGATCGACGCTTGAGTATTGTTCGGCGGTTTGAAACCCACACTAAAACAACGGTGCCGAGAAAATCGAATCTGTTCAACGTCGCTTTCTTCGTTTAGCGCTACGTAGATTGCCTTGGAATGATCCGTTTCGATTACCCAGTTATGAAAGCCGTCGTCAAATTATCGCCCTAGAACATCTCCGGACTAAAAGGGACACACGCAGAATCCTAACCGTGGTCGATATCCTGTAGGGAAGGACAGATTGTGAGGCTATCCTGAGGCAAATTGACCTGAATGTTCAACCCCGACCGTTTCGTAACAACCTTATGCTTAGAATGCCTCTACGTCGCACAAATTATGGAGCATACGGGGCGATTTGCAGACTACAGAGTTGCATCTGTCTTCAACTTTCATCTCACCCGTGATGCACTTTGTCGAAAGTTTTCTTAAATCTTTTAATATTGTTGAACTTCTTAACGGAATCCTTTTATGAAGAGCTTTTTGAGTGTGTTGATTTATTTAATTTTAATTTCGTTATAATTGCTTTTGATAGATACGCGTATTGCGTCTACTACTTGCAGACTTCATCAGTGCCAAGACCTTAACTCAACACCACTGCATGAAGTCTGCCAGTAGTAGACGAAATATGCGTATCTGTCAAAAGACAAGCAATTATAACGGAATTAAAAGGAACCGCACTTGTTCAATTCAATTTAAGGACAGTAGGTACCCGATGAAATACAAATTCGTTTGGTTCCGGTGGTAGTTACAACCGAACCCCGTAATGCTCGCTGCTACTTACCAACTCTTAGGCGTGGTGGCAATGATGGGCTTGAAATGGTTCAGCTCAGACCGCAAACTGTCCCCATCGTCGTCGTCATCGTCCACGGCTTGACTAGATGTTCGCCGGTGCAGTTTGGTCGGTTTGACGCACAGTTCGCTCTTGTTGAGCTCGGCCATCGTGAAAACCTTCTTCACCGCCCCACTGCTGCTGCTACCCACCGTGGCCGCTTTCCCAGCTTGGTTCGAACTTTGTGCCTTATTCTGCTGTTTGGCGGCCGATTTGATTAGACTATACCGGCTTGATGCCGACGAGATGCACGACGAAGAAGCTGCCGAAGCGGACGACGTAGACGAGATGGATATGACACTGGAAAGGAAACGTTAGATTTTGCATACCTCAAACTGACCCATCTTACCTTCCATTGGACTGGGACTTGGTAGTCTCCGGACGACTAGGGTGCACATTGCTACTGCTGCTGATCACACTATTCTGGTTTGGCTGCTGCGGTTGCTGCGGTGGATGATTGCCTTTCTGATTGTTACCGGACTGCTGCGGAAAGGACGATCCGGACGGACCGGCCTCTTCGTCATCGTCCACCTCGTGGATGGCATCGGTTTTGGCGGTTGTTGGCTGCCGTTTCTTCTCCGGTTCCGGAGTGCTCGTTGTGGAGGAAATCGACAGGTGGTCACTGCTGTCGACCAAATCGATGATGCCTTCCTGTTTGTAGAGATTGATAATGTACTTCTCGGATGCAGCCAGTTCCTTCTTCTTCTCCTCGATCAGCTCCTTCCGGTACCGCTGCAGTTCGGTTTCGTACTCTTTGCGGATTTCGCCCGGTTCGCTCAGGTGGATCACGCTTTCGGTTTCTGGAGGGAAGAGAACGTATAGGGAACATGTAACATGACTGACAGAAATTTTAGATAATCTGGAACTTGATTTGGCATCGATTGAGGTAGGTGGAGCGAAATGAGGGTGTCTCTGATATTTCTTGATTTTCCAGTAATGTTCAAACAATTTCCAGTTGCAGTGTCTACATGGTTTTGTCAACACGATCTCATCAGCTACTACTTTGCTCAGATAGGGAAAATGTCTCTAATGTTGGTCTATGTATCTAAGATTTGGCCCATCGCTAAAAATCTGCTATTTATCAATTTTATCTAGATGAACGCGTTATTGGAACGTTACTAATGGAAATTTTTGGTTGCTATTGAAAATTTAGTCGATTGCTGAATTTATGTATGGAACCCAAATTAGGCCGACATCTTGCTTAATCGTTTAAAATTGTCAACAAGTTTGCTCCATGATATGAGAAGAGATCCTTGGCATGGCGATTTTCTCACCCTTAGAAGCAGTGTCGAAAATATTCACCAACACTCACTATGACTCGCGAACTTTTACCTTGTTGAACTTCGTGAAATATCGTGAACTTTTTCAACCCGGCTTCTAAACCGACTTCTAAGTTATCTAAGTAAGAACTCAACGCTAGGGGCAGAAAATCAACCAGTTCTCCTACATCTTACATATGAAACACTTGTCTTTAATCCCTTGAGCACAATTTGAGACCCAGCTCCGCAAGAAAATTATTCCGGTTAATACGCTTAACCAAACGCTAATTTGTGGCCAGATTCCTATGGTTGGAGTTCGTAAAAACATCGCTTTCACCTTTCACTGAGAGGCTAATTTTTCGAGCTAATCAGATTTACAATGAAGACCTAGAATACTCAATAAATCCACACTATGCTGTAATGGCAATGCTTGTCAACGTTTCTTTGAATCATATTTCAATCATAAAAGTGCTACTCCAAGCATCAAAGACAAAAATCCACCCAAGCAAGACCATTATCCTAAATTTTTATTTAATTTATTCTCTAAACTAATCAAGGTTGTTTAGAACACAATAAGGAACAGGAACAACAAGTGTTCAGAAAATAAAAAGCATCTTCTTCTCTTAAATTTTCACAATTCTTGAATTTACTCAAAAGTGTTCCAATGCGCCCAAAGGATCTAAGTCAGACACAATTAGGTGTAACATCTTGGAGGTTAAATTTTGCAACAACTAACAATGTTTAGTGTCTACGGAAATTGATTTTTATCAACCCTCAGGAATGTGTCAATACCCAGCTGAATTTATATTAGGCGCAAAATCATCAAAATACCCTTTTATTTGAGTAATTCTTGCTCAAATTGCAAAAATGCAACATCAAGCATTGAGCAACCACAAATTCACAACTCTATTTAAAATTTGAAATGAACAACCATCTTCAAACTACACCGAGTAATCAAGTTGTGTGAAACTAGCAAAGTTTGTCATACTTCTGTCATACCTGTGATTAAGAAATATTTCCCTGAATTTGAATGAAATTCTCTGAGATTCCCTGTTTTCCAGGTCCAAAAATGAATTCCAGGTTTTTTTCAGGCAGTCGAAACCCTGGAAATTGATATCAAGCTGAACAGTGCATTAGGTCCTAAGTAACATTTATCGCCTTTCTCTTTCTTTAATAACTTGGGTACAGAACCGTTTCTTCGTCTAAGCCCTGCTTAACTCTTTACCATTCTTGCATTTACTCAAAGGCCCTCAAGGAATTTATTTTTGTTAGACACAGCTGGATCGAGCACACGCATCAATCTACTCGAAGGTTAAATTGTGTCAGATGCAATTAGGTTTAATGCTGCGGATAGACTTGCATGACAAACTATGAACAGGACCATTATTTGTATAATAAATTATGAGCACATCCATGGTCACACTTGTATAGTTTTTCTATAGTACCCATACTTATTTTACTCAGAGGGAGAGATAGGCGGAGAAAACAAAATACAATTCGGCAGCAGGGATTTGTTCCTAAATTATCTTGCAACCCTTGCTAGAAGCTAGCATTTCAAATGACTTTTATTTTTGATTCGATTTACGTGCAAAATAATAATTGATTGCATCGCAATATTTTGCACATTTCTTGGGGCCATTCATTAACCAACGAAGATCAATTAATCAATAGAGTTAGAATATTGTTTTTGGTTCCAAAAACTAGTTGAATTTAAGAAGCACACAAAACATAAAGGTGATTGAATTTCTGTTCGATTGCAATACTCTCAAATGTATTCTAGTAAGAATAAAAAATCCTCGTAAAAATTCTAATTGGAATGTTCGATTAGCTCAGATTTTGACAGTTCATTTGGCTCAAAATATTCTCTCCGCCCATCTCTCCCTCTGAGTATTTCTAATAATTATTATACAAATAATGCCCATACTCATGGTTTGCCATCCAAGTGTATCCGCGGCATAAAATCTATTAAGAGGCGCACATACCCATTAGCAGCTTAAATTTGGCAACAACTAACATCGTCTAGCGTCTACACGGCCTATGAGATCAACCCAAATTTGAGTACAGTTTACTCATAATCGCAAAAAGTGCAGGAGCTCAGTGAATTTGCCTCATGTTTTCCGATGAAAAACCTCCAGAACCGGCCGAGTCTAGTAGTAGTACCAATAGACTGAGTGAATCCAATCTTTACTTTTCTCATATTCGGGATTTATTTTCCTGGAAAAACCTGCAAAAGCATGAGACAAATTTACTCATCGCTGAGCTCCTGCACTTTTTGCGATTATGAGTGAACTGAACTCAAATTTGGGTGATCTCATTGGCCGTGTAGATGCTAGACGTTGTTAGTTGTTGCAAAATTTAAGCTACTAATGGGTATGTGCGTCTCTTAATAGATGAGTTCCTGCACTTTTTGCGATTTATGAGTAAACTAAACTCAAATTTTGATCGTTCTCATTGGCCGTGTATGGAAATGGCTTTTTATCTCAGTTCAACCATCTCAGGAATGTGGTGCTGAATTTATATTAGGCTCAAAATCATCGAAATACCCTTTTATTTCAGTATTTTTTGCTCAGTCGACTCCCTGCATAAGATTAAGCCCTTGTGACCAATAGGAGGGGACTTTGAGAAGATTACGACATCTTAGAATACCATATGCCGAGCATGAAAAACAAACCCAAATCCCGGGCTCAGGGCTGGTAGTGCTGGTGCGATAATAGTAGCGACTTTAGTGACTAAAATTACGGAAATAGTGACCAAATAGTGACCTTTAAATAATAAATAAGTAACCAATAGTGAAATTTATATGATAACTCCGAAACTCAAATAAGGTTTAATATTGTAATAAACAGTTTTTGTCATGAAACTTAAAATCACATTTCATCAATTCCTCTAATTATATCGAAACTCTCAACAGAAGCTCCTATGAAGAGCACTTGAAGTGATTTGAATAATTTCCATTTGATTACGTTATACATAGCAATTTCCAGATTTTCCCGGACTTTTTTTGTAATGTTACTGGTTGAGCGTTACATAAATTTCTGCTATTGTAAATTCAGTTCGTATTCTCCTCAGAATTTCCATGGTATTGCCTCAGAATTCTCAAAACAAAAATCCATCTCAGAATACCCTTGACACTCTTCGAAGAATTCCTTTGAGATTCAACCCTCAAAAGCCGACTCCATTGAAATTCTTCTCGGAATTTATTTGGAACTCTTTAGAGTTCTCTTGAAAGTATCCTCAGAAATCATTCCATAATTCTTTTATAGCTATCCGCAGAGATCATCTTTGAAGTTCGCGGGATTCACATGGAATTCTCATCAGAGCTTTCTTAAACAATGTCAGAACTAGTTTTGAATTCTTATTAGAATTGAACACATAATCCTCATCCAATCATTATAGAATTCTCTCAATTATATTGGAATTATTTCCAGTATTGTTTCGGATCTGAATTTGGCATCTTTAATAATTTTAAACAATAATCAAAAGCAACGCTCGTATGTGTCAGTCTCAGGGCTGGGTTTTTCACTTAAGCCTTCAACCAGGTTTAACTATATGGATAAATCTGGTTAAAGATTTCAGCGGATGTGAAGAAATCGGCCCTAAGAGCACTTAATTTTACATGAGACTTTCGTAGTCTGTACTTTGGTATTCTTCTCTGAAATGTCTAGGTGTCATTCCAAGAATTCATTTAAAATTGTCTTAAGCTGTCATTTGATTTTTTTTTTAAGTTCTTGATAGTTCTTCAAAGACTTCTGAAAATCTAGGACAGACAAATACCCCTGAAAAGTTTCCTAGATTTTGGATATAGCAGGTATATTTTCAACGATTTTTTATCGAAATTGAAAGCATTTCCCAGTAGATATGCTGGTGTTTCAAAGGTTCTTGAATTTTTGCGGTTCACTGGTCATCCTGGTTAAAATTGTTAATTTTTCAACAGATATGCATATTTTGTCATAACTACTGTAGACTTCCTTAGTGCCAAGTACTCAATTTAAAAATAGTGTTGATATTTTTCCATTTCACTCTATTTTAGTTGTGAAAAAGTGACTTTAGTGACTTTTTGGTGTGAAAAGTGACTTTTTAGTGACTGACTTCAAAATAGTGACAAAGTCACTAAAAAGTGACCTGCTACCAGCCCTGCGGCTGGACAAAGTTTCAAGATCCATGGATAAACAAACCTATTTGATATGCCAGACATTGACATATTTTCAACATTCTATATTACTCACATGTTCTGAACATTTAGATTCAGATTAAATTGTTTTAAATCAATAATATTTTAAGTAAAGTATAATGAACACATAAGCTTAAATCAACACTGACCATTTAAAGCTGAATCTCATGTGCTAACACCATATCAATGGAATTTTCGTTGATTTCAGTAGCCGACAAAGTTTTGGCAATGTAAGAATCGAGCACATTCTCGCAATATTTTATTCACTGTTTGATATGTTTGCTATTTCAAAACCACTACAATTTAACTAGGATCCCCCATATCGATCAAAAGTTAAGCTACTCAAAAATGAGTAAACTCAGTTGGGAGT